GAGAGAGAGAGAGAGACATCTGTATGCACCGCGTTTGAACCATCTTTACATTGCGAGGTTGCAGCTCAAATCTCACATTTTGTTCACATGTTGATAATTTATTTATTTCTCACGTGTCACATTTCACCTGTAAGTTTTTGTTAACTGTGCTAAAATGCACGCTAACACATTCACGTGCCATCATCCAGCGCAGCTGCAGTGTCAGGAGGGGACAACGGGAGAAAAACAGCAGACATGGGAAAGAAATGACATCATAGGGCACAGTGGTGACACCTAGAGGAGTTTGCCTGCTGCTACAGGCGCCTTTGTCTCTGCTGCTCCCACCAGTGTGAAACGTGAGACAGCAGCAGTGTGATATAACCAAGACCAACTTTAGAGGTCCTTTAATGATGTCCTCCGTCACCTCTGCTACGTCTAACTTGTCTATTTGTCTTGTTGATAGAAGACTGCTGACTTCTCGCACGGTTTCACTGAAAAGACTGAAACACAGGTTACATTGAAAACCAGCCTCCAACACTATATCTAACAGTTTTGGGGCTTTTTGAACGTCTCATGGTGAGTGCACATCTACAGCACTCACAGAAAGTGAAAAAGTTAAAAGGTCTGGATAACTTTTTTCCCCCATTAATAAATGACGTTTTCATTTATAAACTGCATTTTGTATTCACTCAGGTTATCTTTGATTAGAATTGACATGTGTTTGATGATCTGAAACATTTAAGTGTGACAAATATGCAAAAAGTAAAACCTATGAAACCAGGAAGGGGGCAAATGCCTTTTCACAGCACTGCAACAGGCATCTCTGAAGCTCATCAGCTTATATTTCACACCAGAACCATTGAGAAGGATAAACAGAACTGCGGGAACAATAACATGCATGTTTTTGGGGGGATGAACTGGCCCTTTAAGTGCATTTTGTTGATAATTTCACACCTCAGTCTGAGCCCGATGCTTTCAGTTCTACTTCTTCATCTGAAAGTCTGTGACTTCGTGACAATAACAAAACCAGATGCAGTCGTGACACTGAAGCATCTTTTGTTTGTTTTTATTTCATTGTCTCTCATTCGTTTCACATTTACTCATCATTGAACCGTAGAAACGTCACAGGTTGAGACCGAAGACAACATGGATGTTTCAGCTTCCCAGGTTTTCCTTGGTTTTTCATTTTATACTAAACAAATATATACAGATATCCCAGGAAGAGCATCGCAATCATAATTAACCCTTTTCCATAATAACAATACATTTAATAAATACTCAGTGTTCTTAACCACACAACGGGAATGAGTTTGGGCTCACCCTTCAACCAGTGGGATTGTCATCATCCCATACAAATAATAAACATGCGCGCGCGCACACACACGTACTCACACACACACACACAAAGAAATCTGCACAGTCAAGTAATAACATCTGTAGCCAGGATGAACCGTCCTCTGTTCAAAAACTACTCCGGAGATAAAAGTTGATTTGTCAGCCATGACGGGAGCACTTTGTGCCGAGCTGGTCCACCAGTTGCCCAACTTAAAGTGCAGGTGACATCGAACACAGCAGATGAAAAGGAGAGAAGGTGAAGTTTGGAATCGAGTGGCGGGCTTCTGTCAGCGCTTTCTACTTTGTGTCCGTTTCAATGGCGTGAGCAGGATGGGACCAGACCGTCGGTATGTAAGGAATGTCTCCATAAAAAGTTATTTAAAAAGACGGAGGAGAGGAACAGATGTGTGGCAACCAGTGGTCTCATTTTAAAGAAGTGAAAAACCGTTCACATGTGAAATGACATGCACTGAAAAAGCACCAGCACACAGAAACAGGCGTATCTCCTTAATCCACACGTGTAAAGTAATAAATACATATACATATATGTATATGTACACATTCACACACAGAGACGCACACCGGGGCTGCTGGACCAATAGAAAAACATTTTTGCTAACAGGCTGCAGCAGGGATGGTGCAAGCACTGAGAAAATAAACTCTGATTTATTTATTTTTTTAATTTTTACCTTACAAGGCTGAGGATATACACCACCAGTGAGAAAAAGGCTTTTTCCTGTCTCGAGTCTGGGAGAGAAGAGGACGACAGATGACACGTGTGAGGATGAAGAAGGTGGAGCTGATTTTATAGGGCTTGTTTGTGCACTGGCATGACAAACAGTGTGCAAAAAAGGAACAAGGACACAAGATTTTCACAATATCAGCGCCTCTTTTTTTTTAAATAATGAAAATGCTCCGCCTTCAGGGAAGAAACATGCAAGCAGAAAGTGGAAAGCTATGCAGACAGGCAAAAGCACAAGCAGATGGATTGAAATGAGCAGTTAGTGAAGTCACAGAACGGCTGTTTGAGTACTCGAATGGCTTTTAAAGAAATGTAGCCTGGTCGTAGGGCACCAGGAAGCAGGTAGAGATGGCCTTTCTGGGCAGGAAAAGAAAGGTAAAGTGGGACTGGGCGCACTACAAGGCTGTTAAAAAGGCCTCTTGGACCCTCAGTGTCGTGCAGGTTAGTGAGCACTATCAACGAATGGCTTTCTGTGAGGGTTTAACACCTTATTAGGGCACACAAGTGAGGTGAGTTGCATGAGGGTCCTTAAAACAACAAGAGAAGAAGTGGGATGTTTTTGCAAACTTCGGTGAGAGTGCACTTTGCTCGGCTCAGACATCAGTAGGCGTTCCTTGTTCGGCCCAAGCTGTCATGTCCTGGAACAGGTCTGAATGCAAAAGAAAAAAAAAACCTTAAAATGTTTGTTTATTCTTTGATTTTTACTACGAGTACTGCTGCCCACATAGGGTGGCAGGCTGTAGCTGCCCGCACAGAGGAACAGTGTGGTCCAGATTCTGGCCCTCCATGTCCATGTCCATCAGGTTGGGTCGCGCCGCACTAGCGCTGCTGTCCCCTGAACCGAGGGGGCTGTCGCAGCTGCTGCCCGGCGATGAGCTCAGGGTCCGGGAGAGAGAGCCCAGCTTCCAGGGATCAGGTCTTACCCGGGATGGCGTTGGCCTCGGTCGGGGGGCAAACTCCAGCGTCTTGGGCCTCTCCAGGGGGCTGATGAGGCTGTGAGGATCCGGGTCGGGGATGGGTGGAGCGGGAGCTTTACGCCGGTGAGGGTAGATAATGGCAGGTTCAGGTAGCCGGGGGATATCCAGCTTGTCCTGCATACCTAAGAATAATAACAGAGGTGTGTCATGTTTCAAGCAAACACTTCGTGATTTAAGCTGCTCAGATACGCAAGTGTGTAGTCAAATAAATGCCTGTGGGCTGAAGCTCAAAACGGATGTTTTGCATCAAATCTCCATCTCACATTTTTTGCACAAAGCAATTAAGTGAGAAAATCATCTGCGGACTAACTCACTAGAAAATATTCAGCAGCTGCAGCTGTAGATCAGATAATGAGGCAATGTTTTGCATATGTTAGCCCACTAACTGCAAATTTGTGTGTAATTTATGTTGCCTCAGATCTTTTACTTTAGGAAAGTTTGTAAGAAGTAAGTACTGCAAGGTATAAGCAAATATTACAATTACATTCAACACCGGGGGTCATCTTAGTATGCATACTGCAGCGAAAAGTCCAACATAAAGTGAGAGTACACAAAGAAATAATAAAACAATAAAGAGGGAAAACTAGGAAACATAAGAGTACGGCTAGAGAGCTGGCAAGTGGAAGAGCTGCAGGTATAAATACTGAGAAGACCACATAATGAAGTGAACACAGGCGTGGCACAGGAAGTGCAGAAACTACCTGAAGTGTAAGTCAAACCTCCTTTTCCTAATTGCAGCAAAGGCGTGAAGGAGAACTGACAATGGTACAGCAGGCGTCTGCCCCGCTGAAACTACAATGTCCAGAAGCTGGACTTCAAAATGCAAATTTAACATCATGACAGCATGTTGTCATCCTCAGCAGCAGATTGGCAGATTGAGCTTACCCCACCTCTTGCCATAGGACAGCTGGGTTAGGCTGGATGGATGGATTTTTTTTGTAACTTTAGTAAAACTGTGTCCATCCATCACTTGACCAGTTAACGGTCAGAGTGTTGGGGCCTATCCTAGCTGACCTGAAGTAAAAACTTAATGAACGATAATCCTGAAGGCTGGCAAATAATCATGGACAATACTAATGCAAAGTGAAGCACTGAAAAACCTTGAATGCACTGTGATATAGTAAACATTACCAATAATCTGATTAAGAGAGGCAACACCATGAGGAAAAGTGGATTTTATTACAGCAACATAAAGTTCAGAGTTCCGCTGTGAATAGAAAACACGCTTATAATTAACATTTACATGATCTGCACCACTTTGTTGGTTTTGGTGATCATTTTGCATCGCAGTGAGTGGGATGTAATCTCCTTTCCTTTCATGAAGGGTGCTCCAGTGTAGCATCCGCCAAAGGAGGTTATAAACGAGGTACTGAAGCTGCCCTGCAGTTACTTCAGGGTCACTTTGCACAGCAAATTTGACTCGATTGTACCCAGAGGTTTCAAAATAAAGCATGATGTGACTAACACAACACAGATGGAACTGACTGTGGTGGGGTATGTGCTTGTAATCGATGCGCACAGGAAAGATAGTGGATATGCTGGTGAAAGGATGTTGAAGATGGATGAAGAGAAGAAGACCACAGAGGAGATTTGTGGATGCAGCAAATGAGGACATGCAGAGGGTTTGTGTGACGGAGGGGGGTGCCTGGGATAGGGTGAGATGGAGGAAGAAGAAGCTGAGGAAGTTGTTCTGTACAGTTATTCTGGAAAATCCTTCACAGGGTCTCCATGACGTGCTGAACAGCCACAAGAGCACTTTTAGAAAAAGACTCATTCGACCATGACACACCACAGAACACCACAGGAGCTCATTCCTACCTGTGACACATGGACTGTTTTCACGTATAATAACCTGTTTGTATTATTTTTGGATTTATTTAACTTTGCAGTATGATTTTAACATACTGCACGATGAATGGAGTGCCTGATTTTTAACATTTACTTTTAAGCACTTTAATCCCTGGGATTAATAAAATACTCCGATTCTGATGACAAGTTAGACTAGATTTGAGTCCCGTACCTTTGTTTGTTGTGATGTGCGGTGGAGGAGGCATGGGCATGCTCCCATCTGACGGCGTCCTGTGGTGTCCCAGAGTTTGGGCTCTGGGTCGTATCGCCCCATCTGAAGGGGTGCGTCTGTGTCCTCGGTTCATGGCCATGGCTGCCGATACATGGGTGGGCGTGAGCGACTGGTTGGGCTCCTTCTTGAAGCTCTCGGCCCGCAGGTCCAACAGTGGGTTGAGGGCAGGCGCTGGGGGCGCCGCCGGTGTTCTGACCCCAGCCATCGGGGTGAGGGGATAATCGTCTGGGTCAGAGGGGAGGAGGGACTTGGTGGAGTTGCAGTCCGACAGAGAGGACAAAGAGAGCAGTGTTACAGAGGGAGAAGGGTCCAAGCAGGGAAGCGTGGAGTCGTGGTGTCTGGAGAGAGACAGAGAGAGGTTTCGGCTGGGTGGAGAGGTGCTGCGACGGAAACGTCCCGTCCGCTGGAAGAGACCATCCTTCTTCTTACGCTGCTCCTCTCGGAGGTCCTGCTCATCCTGAAGCACCTGAAGAGAACATCAGACCACAAAAACGTGCTGAGCTTTACTCTCATTCTGAGAAAACACACACCATTCACATAAGTTTAACAATTCAGCTGCTGCAATGTGACCTGCAAAGAACAACATTTTGGCCCACTGTCTTTGCTTCTCTTAAGCTCTCTTAAGTTCCTCTGACAGCATTTCATTCAGGTTGATGTTTGGCCACCTTTGGGTGGATCAGTGCAGCATTTTGTCCAAGGTTCTTGTGGTTTGTTCAACCGCAACTTGAACTTTCTAGGATTATCACTCCCAGGAAGTTTGTGCCATTATTTTAACACACAGCTAAATGCTCCAGATATGCAGAATGCCAAAGCATCTTCTTCTATAGAGGTGCTCAGACTTGCCGATGATCATTTAAATCAAGTGAATTTGATTATCAGCACCTGGTTCCTACTGACCCTCTTAATTCCTCTGGAAGTAGTAAAAATATTCTCAACTTTCGGGGCAGCAAAGAGCCCTGTGAAAACTGTCTTTTTCACAGGACCATAAAGTAATAATATTGTCGACCTGTACTTTAATAGGAAACATGTTTGACTCAATACAAAAGATCAGGTCTGACTCAGCAGCATCCCACATCTCTCACTGATAATATAAGGGCTTGTTCATGCTGGTTTATCCTTCATAAATGATTCAAATGAGTCTGAGGAGTCCTGGTATCATAGATTCTGAGACATGATCTCTGACAGGCACTGATTTTATATTAACAGGTAATAAACCGTCTGCAGGAGGAGGCTGTTTATGTGGAGAGGCCATGTCTTTAATAAAGTGGAATCATGCGTGTATGAATGAACACGTCTGTTATTGTGTAAGAGAGATTGTGTCTCCAAGAAGGACATTAAAACACAAAGATATACACAAATAAACAGGATTAGCACAACAATCGAACTGCCTTGAATAGCAAAAAAGCATAATAAAATCTTCTGAATACAAAACCATGCATCATATCTTATGAAGATGTATTAAGTAAAAAATAAATTCATTGTGGGGGTTTGAGGAATAAAAACTAAATGTCGAGACTAAACTCGACATTTCAAGATCAAAGTCACCCTTGACCTTTCGATTTTATTCTCTAAATGCAGCAAAAAAAATAAAAATCCAAATGTCAAATGAAGAAAAAGCTCCTTCCTCATGCAACATGGCTTTAATCTTGCTCCAGAGTTCAACCGTATCTCTCCCAGTTTCAGGGTTTCCTACCTGCTGTTTTCCCAGCTGTAGCAAGTCTTGTCCGAGACCCACCGAGGCGAGCAGAGAGGCGCAACCCAGCAGGAATATATCGCTCTTCTTCCTCTGACTGCAGCGACGAAGGGAGTCCTGGTAGCTCACGCCCGTTCCCAAGCCTCCAACCGCCTGACAGGAGCCCATATTCCCAACAGCGGGCACCATGTTGGGCCCCAGGCTGCTCCACAGGGAACCCGAGTCCTCCATGGCCCCGTTACTGCTCGACTCCGAGGGCAGCAAGGAGCCTGGCGATTCCTCAAACTCACTGCATTCCTCTGTAAAAGACAGAATTGATTAAACTCACACTTGTGATTGTGTGAATGAGGCAGAACGCACAGTGAAATGAAAAGACTCACCCATTTCATTCAGGCTGGAGAAGCCAGCAGTCATCGGGGCATGTTTGGGAGACTTGCCCAGATTTGGCGCGCTGGATGACCAAACTTTGCTTCCCTCTGCGAGAGACTTCAACCTGCAAACAGGGAATTTGAATTAGACTGGCAGGACATCAAGACTCCATTTTTTAATATATTATCAGAGGCAACAGATGCTGTGAAAATAACATTTTTTAAACGAAAAAGGGACATAAACCGGTCGGGTCGATGCCACTTGAGGACACGATTCATACAAAGCGAAGATGATTACTCTGCTTCTGGCTTCTCCGCTCACTGTAATGAGATATTGATCTAAAGGTTTTGTTTCTGTGTGTTATCCAGACGAGTATCTGAAGAAGCCCCTTTTTCTTGCCTGCAGGTGAACAGACAGTGGGCCTTATAATCCTGCAGGTGTTGACACTGCAGTTTCATCAGGTTTTTACAGAAAACAAAGCTTTCTGTTCAAAATTAAAGAGCTGTGACTTTCTGTGCCTGTTGCTGGAAATTATTAACCACAAAATCCATAGTTTATCAAACCGTGTAAGAGCGGCCTGTCACTCCACATACAGTGCTGTCAAAAAAACTTCTCCCCCTTCAAACAAACCTGAGAAAATACTAAATTATCAAAGCCAAAGTATATCTTTAACTTTGAGCAAAACTGTTGACGTACTTTTCCTCGCCGCCCACTCTCTCTTTCTGATGGGTGGAGCTTGGGCCCCAGGTGCGTCCTTTCTTCTTATTGGTCGTCAGGTCTTCCTTTTTACACACAGCGCTGCGACCCCACGTCTTACTGCCATCACTCGGCGTCACTGAAAAACACAGCAAACATTCAATAAACTCCGGTCCATATCCTCACTAGACTTATTGACGTTAACGCTCACATCTGATAGCTCTCAGCCGGGGTATGACCCCAGGGCTGGCAGGCGGGGTCGTGCTCTCGCTCCCCTGGGTCTTCCTCTTGTCCACGCTGGGCGATGCCTGCACCGTGATCTTATGCTCGAAGCCTGCAAAGACAGGGAATATGAGAAGCATTTACATGACAAAAGGAGAGATTGATAGACAAAGAACTCACAAAACAAGGCGCAGATTTTAAGGATAAACAGAAATTACATCAAAAGGAGGCACACAGGAGGCGTCTCCCCATCTATTGTATTAGAGTATTAATACGCCATGAGAACATATATTTTGGATTTCCTACATCCTACTTTCACTTTAGGGATAATAAATTGACTGAAAAGCAGAGTTAAGTTAACTTTACTTATTATTGGGTTACAACTCGCTCGACAGCAACACCATATTGGAAGAGTGTCATTCTAGGAAATGCAGTGACGGAAATTTTGAAGCATATAAACAGATTCATGGGAAAATTATCTCTAAATTATATCAAGGCCTCAGGAAACAGAAAGATAATAACACCAAGTGCAGTGAAACACAATTGGGAAAAAAGAGCCAAACTTAAACGCAGAAATAGCTGAGGCAGAGTTTGCGTTGTGACACAGTATGATCATCGTGCAGTAAAAGTCAAGTATTTTGTTACAGTATGTTTAACGCTGAGAAAGATGCTAGGCTATCAAATCCCTGTAGCTGTCCCGGCACTGTATCTTGTAATGAAAGTAATCAAAGAAGATGTTATTATCAAAAAGGACTGTTAGTTATTCAAAATATTGATCATCACTGGTTAACAAAAAAAAATAGCTGTGAGTGATGTTTGGAGTACCCCACCTGTTCGGTTTTCCTTCTTAAAACTTGTTAAATAAAAAGCGATTCAAGACAAAGATGAGCTAACTAATGAAAAAACACAAAGACATGCATGTCAGGATAGCTGCTGACTGTAAACTGGCCGTGTGAATGTAAGAGTGAATGGCTGTTTCTCTCTGTGTTAGCCCGGTGATAGACTGGGCTCCAGTCTGGATGGATGGATGGATGGATGATGGATGCCATGTACCACTCTTTGTTAAACACACATCTGAACTGAAAGGCTTCTCTCATAAAACCTGCTTCTTTCTAAAGTGTTACTTTGCATTAACTGAGTCCCAAATGCAGCCGTTAGGATTAGCAAAGTAATATGACGGGTTTTTCTTTCCACCTTTAGTAATGAAGTGATATTTTTTTACTGGGACGTCCTTGTTAGCCTACATGAAATGATTTGGTAAAATAAACACAAAGGGAAGTATCAAAAATGAATTTTTTCTTTGCCTTTGTGATGTTTTCCATCAAAATCAAGGAAAAGTGATTACTATCTTTTACTATTCGTGAGTCAAAATTTCAACTTACATACTTAAACAACTGAAAAAATAACTTAATGATGAGACAATAACTTGAGTATGAATTTTGAGGAGATAACCCAAACGTATTTACTCATGGATGACAGAAACGCTTTGTTTTCACTGGCGGAAACGAGCTCCCAAAGATTAGGGAAAGGACATATGAGGTCATTCTTTTAGGAATATTCAAATGCAGCCAGTGTCCTAAATTTTCCACCTGAAAATACCCCATCTCACAGGAAGTGACATCATACCACCTTTGTGCACCTGATTCACCGGATTAAAACTGTCCGGGTGTGATTCCTGTGTGCACCCACCAGAGGGCAGACTGATACAGTTGCTGTCTCTGCCCAGCTTCAGTAATCGGCTCTTCTTGAAGTGGCCCTTCCTCTTCTTGACGCTGGGCTTTTCCTGGTACATCTGGTGGATGATGATGTTCAGCTCTCGCTCAACAATGTCGATCTCCCTCTCTGCCAGCTCCTGCTCCCTCTTCCTCAGCTGTTCCTCCTGCTCCTTCTGCTCCTCGGCTGCTCGGGCCAGCGCCTCCTCCCATGATCTCAGCTCCTGCAGAGAAGCAGGGGAAGATGAAGAGCTTACCGCAGCACCTCTTTTGACACCTCTTTCCTGGCATTTTGTTAGCTGCTAACTTAATTCTTATTTGCAGAAGCAGCACAGATGTGACAGGGTGAGATTCCTCTCACCTCCGTATGAAATGTGACTTTTATTAAAGCACGAATGTCGGAATAAATCAGCTCAGAACAGGAGAAAAGAAGAGCAAACGAATGTACTCACATTTGTCAACTTTTAGCTGGAAACTAAAGTTCTGATTTACTCATTCTGTCTTTGTACAATGTGACTTCTAACCACAACACTGAGCATTATAGTACAGAGAGGATCTACGCGCACATACGAGCGCTTTAAAGTATTTTTATATGCAGACATGTTTTATAAAAATCCACCATTTCTCACCTTCTCTTTGGCCCTGAGCTCGTCGAACATCTGCTGGATCTCCAGCCTCCAGTCTTCTTGTAAGGAGTGAAAGGACTCCAGAGGCATCTGAAACATGGCCGACTGCTCGATGGCCAGCAGCCGCCTCAGGATGCTGGTGAACGACGGCCTGCCGTGAGGGTTCGGGCTCCAGCACTCTGAGGAGCAGCAGACAGTAAGAATCTGTTGTTTATTATGGATTTCGCAGCTGTAATCATGACTTATAACTATAACGTAAAATTACAGGCACACGTGAAATAAAGTACCATTTAAGTTGTGTTTGCAATAATTGAACAGACGCTACTTTTTCTTAATGAAGTGTAAAATTGTCACAGAAATTTCAAAGATTTCAAATATGAAACATTTAAAAATACATAAACACATTTTTTTAAAGGCATAACAAATGTGATCTTACGTAATCAGGCTTCTAATGTCAAAACATATTTTCACACAATGTCCTTGGAAAAACCTCACTACCACGTTTACCAAAATAAAGACTTTAAAGGAGGGACTGAGCTAATCGTAACTATTTTTAAAATGCTGAATTATGGTAGTAGAAGTCTTACAAATTAAAATCAACCTTAGTTTTCAAATCCAATACTTGGAGAAGCTTAAAGACATCCCAAGCATTTTAAATACTGCTGTTTGCAAGTTAAAAGAAGTGATTGAGTCAGGGCTAGAGACACCCAACAGCACAAATAACATTTATTATGATTTATCACCTTTTTTTAAACTGCAAATTATGTCCTCAAAGTCAAATCTGTCATTATCTATTTTATCCAGCAAGATAATATTATCACACTTTAGTTTTTTATGGCAATTACATGTAATCTGTTTCTAATAATGCAGAATTAACTGTGATAGGTCAGCAAGAATCACATATCTGTAGCCGTCTACATATTTAACTATTACATTTCCACTCATCCACCTTCTTGTTCTACCATAACATAACCAGAACCCAACCAGCCTGGCAGTCAGCTGAGTCGAGCTCATGGACAAAGACTCACTGTTATACTTGGAGAAGATGTCACCATTGTTTAAAACCCTTTACATTTACAGACCTTCAACAATCTCTTTGAGAGTAAATGCAGTTAGTCCAACTCAGACTGTGACAGTTTGCAGAAAGGTCGTCTCCTATCAGGACACCTGTGCAATCGCCTTGTGATCAAAAGTGGTCGTGAAGAGTCGCAGAATGCAAAGAGGATCCTGTCGTTTTTTTACTCAGGTGTCTGAGCCACTATCTTGCTCTGACAAAGCTACGTCCTAATTCAGACTAAGTCTGTTTTCTTTCCTATTATTTTAATTTATTTAATAAAATGTTGGTATTTGGCGTCTCTGTAACATGGAAACATGGATTGTTATCTAATTAGCTTTGTCCTATACTGGGAAGTGGACGGTACAGAATAAATGCATGCAGCAAAATCTATAAAAAAAATAATACAGATAGTTAGATATAGATAGATATGTTTACATATCAGATTTATATATTCATTTTGTCTGAATTTTTCCTTCAAGTTTTAGAAAGACAGACAGTGGCTGTGCGACGGACTGTGCAGGGTGTACACCACCTTCTACCCTATGACAGCTGGGATAAGCTCCAGCACGCCGTGACCCTGGGGATGTTTGGATGGATGAACAAGCACACAATAAAACCTAAAAATGGATTTTTAGGTCTAACAAAATGACACATAGATAATTTCAGTAGACTCGCCCTCTACCCCATCGACAGTTAATGTTTATTAGCCTATCACACAGCGGTCAGGTTATTTGTACAGCACAAAAAGGACTTAGCCATGAATTGCTGGCTCGGACAATTCTTCCCTTTCTGGCACTCAAAGCGGCAACAGGAGACGTGGAAGGAAGCGAGATGAGACGGCATATGGCGACCATCATGAGCCAAACCCCGACTGACAGTGTTGCCGAAACATGCCGCACACCTACAATAATCTGCCGAGCCACAAACTGATCACAACTGCCTCTCCGACGTCTAACTACAAACACACAACCCGTCTCCTAAAAGTCCAACAGATTAACGCAAGAGAAGCACTAACAGTGGAAAATTGAAAACATGGAAAAAATAGGGGCTAAAAATACAGCCTGCAGCAGGTGACGTTCATTTTTTTAATGGATCTAAATTACCATAAAATCCATGTGGCGGGAGAGGAGATGAAAGTGAGCCGATGACAGGAGTAAACAGAGTGTAGAGAGTAGCGAGGGATGACAAAGGGGAGATTAACGGATGAACTTGGATAAGATGAAGTGGGGGAAAGGAGCTTTAAGCAGCAGAGTGGGAGGGAAGTTTGGTGCTGTGGTGCTGACAGTTTGAGACGCATCTCTCTCTCTCTTTTTTTTTTTTTTTGTCTTTTACATTAAACCTGCCCTGCAGCTTTAACCATCCACATTTTTTTAAAAGTAACCTGGGAATAAGCACATTAGGGCAGCTTAGATATAAAGCAAGTGTGTGTTTAAACAGGGATGATCTGAACTCTGAAACAGGAGCCGGTTAATACTCCACCACTGTTAACAGCGATTATTTGCAAGGTGAAAAGGAGAAATGTGGCCCGGGGGGAGCTCAGGCATGTATAAAAAGTAAGTTAATGAAACCGTCCAGACACGCGTCGTCTATTTTATCTCTGTGTTTGCTTCTCATCTCCCAAATGTGGGATAGAAATTGTTTTAAAATGAACAACAGTAACCTCAAAAGTTACAGGATCTTGAAGTCAGTGGATATGAACAGCCTGTGGGCTTATTTAAAATGTTTCAGCATTTTCAGTGACAGTTTAAGGTCATATTCACAGCAACATTTTAGGGCTTTACTAGGTTATAAAGAGAGACAAAGGAGAAGGGAAGACATATTAAAGTCATTCAATGAATAAAAACAACTCGAGTAATCTCTGAGATCATTAAAGTCAGAAAACTCAGATATTCCTTAAAATATAGTCAGAAATGTCTGAGAAAAACATTTTCCCCCACCTATGTGAAGTCTCCTCTTTTTTAGGAGGTATGTTTCTGAAGTGCAGCTGTTAATCTGCTAATCTAACTAAAGCAGCAAGTGAAAGTAAAGCTTAAACATTTTCCAAGGTGAGGTCGAAATAGTAAAGTAAACGCAGGTAAATTTAATGTGCAGGACCGAAATTTAAAGATTTCTGAGGGAGCTCGGAAAATTTCATTGCTACTATGTTAATAAAGATTATGATTCTTGCCATCTCACTATATAAAGTGATATCATAAAGATGAAAAAAATGTAAGCCGATAAATTAACATATATGTTCGTGTACATGAGCGAAGTGGAAAAACTGCCACAAGCTTGGGGAAAAACTGCCAACTGGATGGGTTTTTGATGATGACGATAACAATAATAATAATCATCATTTTGGACTTTTTTAGTTTTAGAAACCACTTCCTGTAAACTTTTTGAGTTTTTTTCTCTTACCACTTCCTACGTTGCCATTTTTGGGGGTGTTTTTCATGTTTTAAAATCTAATTTTTAAGACAGGAAATGAATATATTATTAATCTAACCACAAACCCCAACAGAAATACCGCTGTGACACATCACAAAACACAATATCCAGATCATATGCAAAAGCATGCCGGAAACAAACCAAATATATTTTCAAACAGCTTTCAGTGCGGCTGCTGGAGCAGCCATACCTTCATCTTCAGCTAACCGTGATTACATATGTGACAAACACACACACACAAAAAAAATCACTTTGATTACATTCTTGACTGAGGCTGTGTTCAGGTAACAACCTTCTTACCTCCCAGTAGTTGAGCAAAAGGTTCAGGGCAGGTTGAAGGGACGGGAAGCGTCAGCTTGTTCATTGCGACTCCGTAAGCTACCGCCAGTGCATCTATCTCCCGGTAAGGAACCTCGCCAGTGAGCAACTCCCAGAGCAACACACCAAAACTATGAGGAAAGATAAAAATGAGAAATCAACATTAAATCTATTCTAACTTAAAAAAAGTTTTCAACTGTCACCTTCATTTTTTTTAAGTGTAGAACATGCTGTGGATCTAACATTCACAGCAAATTAGTCATTTAGTCAAGTTTAGTCAAAAAGAAAAGATAAAGCAGGCTGGGTGGGATGTGTGTCGATAAGTACAACGTAGAATAAACAGCTTTCTGTTGTGCAATACAGAAAATACCTCTATAAAGTAAAATAGCTATGTGTTCAATAATGCAGCAATATAAAGAAGAATGTTATTCACTAAATATAGTGCAAACAGTCACAATATGAAATTAAAGTGGCCCAGTATAAGCCAAGTGAACGTGATATTAAATAAAATATGAAACTAGTGACTGAAACCATCAGAAGAATATCTGCTGTTGTCATAATTTCCAGTCAATCTGACTTCCTTCTGCAATCACGCATCACTTCCTGCAGATGATGCCTATCTTTTATATGCAGGCCATGTTATTAAATAAACAACCTGAACACTTGGAATTGCTAATTACTTAACTTTCTTCTTCCCTGCTCTTCTTCTTCTTACCGTTTCGGTTAGAGGTCCAACACAGTAGATCATCTTCCTCCATCTCACCAGCCCTCTCCTCTAATCACACCAACCCACTGCATGACCTTCTTCACTACATCCTTACATCTTCTCTGAAGTCTTCCTCTTTTGCTTCTCACATTTCTAATCCTGTCTCTCTTGGTCACTCCCATTGAAAATCTCAGCATCCTCAACTCCACCTCCACCTCCACCTCAGTATTTATCCTAAAAGCTTTCATTTCTGTAGCACAGACGAGCATCTACCTGTATTGCTCCTGTGTGTTTAGACTTTCTCACTATCTTCTCTTTCTACATGTAACCCCAGACTGACTGCATTATGTGGAGATCAAGGCCCGAGGAGGCTACACTGTCTGTTGTAGGTCGTCAGAGGTTTTTATGACTCTAGCTGTGTGTTTGGGATCATTGTCCTGCTGCAGACGCTGTGCTGATGCCACATTGCTGGAAAGTCCACTGACAGCTTTTATAGTGTTTTGGTTATTCACCCTGTTCCCCGGTCGTCTGCCCTGACAGGCTGCATGGAGACATCTGTCAATGTGTAAACCAGGGAAGTGCAGTGACACACAAAGAGGCAAGGGCAGTACCTCCACACGTCGCTGCTCTTGGAGAAGAGGGAGTGCTTGATGACCTCCGGGGCCATCCAGGCGTAGGTCCCTGCTGCACTCATCTTGGTGGTCTGGTGCCACTCTCTGGCCAGACCAAAGTCTGTGATCTTCAGGGTTTTGCCATTCAGGTCATCCCGCTCCACCGGCTGCAGAATGAGGACTGAGGATGAGGAGGAAAGAAAACAGAAGAGAAGAGCTTTCGTTATAAAAGGTGACATTCTCATACACACAGTGTGGATGACAAAAACGCACACAAATACACTTAGAAACTGCTTTTGTGACTTTTAAATATGCAAATGCTCTCTGACAAGATATCAAACTACTGAAAGGGAAAAAGAAGAAACACAGACAGCAAACAAAGCTCCGGAGTCATGAATAATTACTCCAATCCGGCAGTAAAAATGAACTCACATTACACAAACCAAGTGTTTTTATGATTCTTAAATGCAAATATCTCTTTCTTTATAGTTCCTTTATGATACAGATTGAATTTATTTATTTGTTTTGGGTGAGGGGGTGGATGTTCTAAATTAAAAGATCAAATTATAATGAAATTAACCAACAAATCAGTCAAAATAATCACTACTTACAGCCTTAACAGAAGTGTCAGTGTGATTCAGTTAACTTCTGCTTTACTTTAAGTGTTTGTTCACAACAGTTGTCCCAAAATGCTTTATATTGAGAAGTAAAGACCTACTATATTACCAAAAAAAAAAAAAACCCAAAAAAACTCCCCACTCCTGCAATCAGAGACCATGAACAAGACGCAGGGGGCAGTGCAATGAAGGCAGGAGGAGATTAAAGAGTCTTCTTTCACTTCTTATTATATTCAGCAGAATCTGTGAAAATTACGATGGGCCTGAGACGTCAAATGCATTGCAACTTAAGAAAACAGCAGCAAATATAGAAATGCTACAAAAGCGCACAACAAAACAAAAACACAACAGAAAGCAAAGCAAAACACACACACACACAAAAAAAATCACTTTGATTACATTCTTGACTGAGGCTGTGTTCAGGTAACAACCTTCTGTGTTGTGTTCACAGAACACAACGCAAGTGTTTTTGTGGAGACAATAATGTGACGGACCAGCTGCAGAGGTGACGAGCTAACAGTAAACGGCTATTCTATTCAATTCAATTTTATCTATACAGCGCCAAATCACAACAACAGTCGCCTCAAGGCGCTTTATATTGGAAGGTAGACCCTACAAAAATACATAGAGAAAATCCCAACAATCATATGACCCCCTATGAGCAAGCACTTTGGTGACAGTGGGAAGGAAAAACTCCCTTTTAACAGGAAGAAACCTCCGGCAGAACCAGTCTCGGCCATCTGCCACGACCGGTTGGGGTGAAAGACGGAAGACAGGATAAAAGACATCCTGTGGAAGAGAGCCAGAGATTAAAAACAAGTATGACTAACAGCTAATAAGCATGTAAAGAGTTATAAGAATCATACACATCATTGCACACATTACCTGCATGTTTTGGTTTCTATCACTTCCTCACCTGTTCCGTCACATTATTGTCTCCCCTAAAACACCTTTTTTGATTTGTGAGATTTTCTTTCCTACATGCTTTGTGTTTTATTCAATTTCCAATGTGTTTTTTCTCCTTCTGCTGTGTTTTGTGTGCAGTGTTTTTCTATTTGCTGATAATTCATAACTTTGAGTGCACTTCACCTCCCAGGGCCACTGCATAAATGCTGAAAATCAAACCATGGATCTATTTTTCATTAAGAATAAGAGTTCAGCAGCACAGCCATGTTCGCAGAGCAGGTGTAGTTGGACCTTTGTGCCTGTTTCTTCCATTCAGTGAAACTACCTGGTCAGTCTGCAGTTTCCTACAGTGACGGTATTTTAATGTATGCAGTCTCCTTGCTCACATTAGATACCTTCGTCTTTGTGCCGCTCTCAGACTTCCTCCTTCATTTCCGTGAGAGGACTGGCTATGGAAATATTTGGAGTGTACACAGTTCACTGGGAGCCAGGTGGGGGTTGCTCTCTCTCTCTCTGACTCGCTCGCAATTATCTACAGCCGTATGCAAAAGGTGGTGAAACAAGGCTACACACACACACACACACACACACACACACAACAGCGTCTTTGTTTACACACACACGTGCACTCCTGTGCGCGCGCACACACACATGCACAATAACCTTTCACATGATAAAGGTGTGTCTCTTTCGCTCTCTGTGCTCTGTCCACAAGCTCGCTAGGAGACGAGTTTCAGTGATACGGACGTGCTCTCAGGCCTATCAGCTGATACTTCCATAGCCGAGTCATGTTTTGCTTGAGGAACGCCGTCACAGCACTCCATTACAGAGAGGCTGTAGCGGTGAGACGACGATTAAATCGTGTTTGTGTTTGTCTGCTGGGTCAGGTCTTAATAGCGACAAAGAGGTCACACGACTCTGCCTGTAACTTGCTTTACGTCCGCCCAGATCAGATCCTTCATAATGTAATTCTATTTTTGTGTCGCTGTACACACAGCATCTCCCACACATCAGTGAGTGCTGCTCTTCCTAAAGTTTCTCACTTGTTCTTTGAAGTGTGTATTTTCTTATCCTATTGAGGTTCAAATGACATGTGGTGATTTACAGATTGCAAAGCCAGTTAAGAAAAATGTTATAGTGACCTTAAAAAGTATCTTAGAGTTTATTTATTGCTTATTGGCAGCTCTCTATATGAGACTATCAAGGTCTTCAGCTCAGCCACTGTGGCCCTGCACCTTTAAATCAGCATTGTTTACTATTCTGTTTTCTTATCTTAACGGTCTGGTGTATTTCTTCATATTTCATAAAATGTGAATGTATGGCATTAGAAGTGCACACTGTTTTGGGGTCTTTTCTTATTAGACTTTATGTACAATATAATCTTTTAAAAGAACAATATATTTTATTCAATGCACTCGATTGTTAAATGAGTAGAAAACGATACTTTTGGTTGTTTTCTTATTCACAAAGGACCACCACAGCAGTTAGTTCCTGTCTTGAAACAACCCAAAAAGGGATTTGTGTCTCCTCCTTGGATCAAACCAGGTATCTTTTACTTGATCCTCCCTTTTTTTTTTTTATTGCTGGTTCCAAACACCAAAAAGGTATTTTATGTAAATCCAGTGACAGCATATTTCTGTCAAACCACATTTATAAATTTTTGGGGGGTTATATATATTATTAGTAAACCAAATAAAATAATTCAGGACCCAAAATTGAACCCTGAGGAACGCCACACTGCATTAAATATAAACACTCCAGTTGTATAGCTGGTATTTTCTATCGTTGTTATAATTTTCTCCAGAACTACTGATGGAGTCAACCTATTTGTATGGAATCCATACTCAATTAAACTATACTGTATGCATATTATTTGTACATGATAACAAATATGTATAGCCTAGGTTAAATTATAATAAAGTTATTGAAGTGATACAAGAAGTTTGACTCTAATGGTAACTGGTGGAAATCACAGACTAACCCCATATGTTTCTGTGATATTCTGTACATTGCATAGAGTTGTCTAATTAACGAATAACATAAACAGCTGTTAAAGAACTAAAAGGCAGGTATTAAATGTGTATTCACTGCATTGTTGGGGTCAGTGTGTGTTTATTGTGTTTGCTTTCTCCTGCTATGTTCACTGTGTGGGTTTTGCCCTTTAAGTCGACTTCTGTTGGCTAATTTCTTTACATTTGCTTATAATGTGAACCAATGCATTAATCAATGCACTGGTACAAAAAACGAAAGAAAAAAAACACTAATGTATACAATATATACTACTATATATTACTGTTACAGTGGACTGGACGTCTACTTGAGCAGTTTTGTTTTGTTTTTTTTTAATTTAAGACTTTTACCTGTAACTATGTATTTTTATATCGTGCCCTTGGTGCTTTTACTTTAATAAAAAGGTGAAGTATGTCACCTCGGGCATGCGTATTAGCAAAAAAGGAATAAAATATTCTATATCTTAGTGGATAATGAGAAAAAATATTCAGCAACAGTTTTGAGCAAAAATGCCAAATACTGCTCACATTTGAATATTTGCTGTTTTCTTCAGTTTTCTGGAAAAGTCAGTTACGGTTTCAGCTTTGTTATTATATAACACATCACAGATGAAACATCTAGAGCAAAAAAATACTACATGTTTTACCAATGCTTTAAAATGTATAACGCTGAAGAAAAAAACTTGAAAAATATAGGCGAGTCCTTGAGTACATGTTATTTTCCACCTCTCTAAGGTAATGTGACTGTGTCGAGGAGTAAAGTGAGGGTTGCTGACAGTGATAATAAGCTGCCCTCATCCTCCTCCTCCTTCATCCGTTCTATTCTGATACTGCCGTCTGTGTGAGGGACGACTGTCTCCTCGGGGTTAGCTGTTTCTGAGAAGCAAAAATGGACCCGGACAGACTCCAAAAAGAAAAAGAAAAAAAGGACAGAGAGAGATTGGGATGTGTTTGCATGCTCGGATGGGTGTGTCCTCACAGTCCACCTTTCCCAGTTCGTTTCGTGTGTACATATACAGAGCCCTGACACTCTGGGAGAGGACATCAGGCATGTGGGTGGAAGGTCGGGTGGAAATAGAAAGAAAAAGACAGGGAGGCTGACAGAAACGCACAAACACAAACTGGATGTGTGACTGAAGCAGCACTTCCACCTGCTTCCTCTCCGTTTCTCATCTTCAAATGACTATATCATCAGCTTAGGTGCACACACTGGTAGAGAGGCCTTCATATTCACCCTGCCACAAGTTCTTCCATCCACACATCAAACACACAAATCAACATGTTTGTGTTAAGCTGGCAGCACAGAAACCTGAAGTGCAGCGACACACGAATAAGACTCACAAGGGCGTGGGAAGCATATTTTTATCGCAGTGAAGGAGGGGAAAAAAAAGTCCTCAAGGATAGTGTGGCTTTTACACAATGCGATGCCAGCGCTGTTGGAAATGTTATCTCAAAATGGGAATGAGAAGAAAGCAAGAAGCACTGCTTACATTCTCCCAAAGGGCTTCTATACAAACATGAATTCTGGTAAATATCACAGCCACTGATTAATCGCACATCTTGATTACAGTCATCATACTTTGACAGTATTTCATCAAGAAAAACTGGTGCTTTCTCTGCTCTTTGAAAGCAAAGTCCAAAAAGTCAAT